GTGATAAAAGTACATCTCACTCTCAGGTACACTTCATATTATCTATTTTTATGTCTCTTCCTTAAAATAGTTTTCCTATTTGGACAGTAGATAAACCACATAAAGAAATTATGGTCTATACACGTCAGAAGTAGAATCAAAAGCTTTGAATTTGACCAACATGGATCTTCAGTAATTCGTATTTTGTAACAGCCAGTTCCCATTTCCATTATTCCTGACTGACTGATAGACTGACAGATGTCTTACTTTAGAGATCCCAAACAGACTATTGGTATCTATTTCAGCCACATCTGCTCCTAAATAGCCTTGGCAGCAGGCCACTATGCACTCGGAATTAATTTTAAGTCCTTTATTGCTAACTCTTTCACTGTTGAAATACATCGGTGATTTTTTTCCTTATGGCTGCACCTACATAGAATATTTATTAACTATATTTCAGATTAATATCAACGGGAACTACGGTATACTATGTATAAAAATAGTATACTTATAGAACACATTGATCTTTTTTACTTCATTATAAAAAAATCTATATTCAATAATACATTAACGTCTGGATTGCTCCAGAGATATTACTTTCTTATTGGTCAATTAACTTAGAATATTATGTTCAATTATGTATATTTAAAAAGCGAGTTTTAGCCAAATTATTATTATTACTATCCAAATACCAAGTCCAGCCTACATGCTGTCAGTCTGAGAGAACTTCATATATCCTTCAGTCAAGTACACTACATACACAAGAAACTATGCTTACAAAGTTTTTCTTTTCTAAGATTTGTACCAGTAAAACACTAAACGAGTGTCAGTCTTTTTCCATTTTCTATCTGACAGAAATCTGCTGAAAAACTGCAATTATTGTAAACTGGAAAATTCTGTGGTGATCTTTAAAAATATGCTGAAGGCTTTAAAGAAATATCAGGATTAAAGTTCTCATTCAACAGCAAAAAACAAGCCTTATTAGAAGAACAGCATAAAGAAGACTGAATTGACACTATTTGTACTGAAATTGATCTAAAATACAAGTGATTCCCACAGCCACTGCTACTAATCCCCTACATTTCATTAGTTTTTAAACTTTAGCTACACCAAAACAACAAAAAAATCCACTCTGAGCATTTGTACATAAATGTAAATATTTTTTTTTCCATCATTCAGTCATTCTTATTATCTTCTGGGAACTTCTAAAAATCACATACAATATTAAAATCTGTACTTAAGATAGCTTTCTCTAATATGGTTTTGAACTGCCATCCAAAATGAGAAGCTCTACAGTTTGGGGCTGGATTATTAATAGAGAGAAAGAAATATCATTTTTTTCTTAATTTCCATGGTTACATTTATAGCATAGGAAAGCCACATAGAAAAAAGCTAGAGAAAAAACTAATAACTACTGACTGTGAGCTCTACTTCTCATTGCAACGCCCACTGCATTGTTAAAAGCAAGCAACCAGCTATGGGTCAGAGGGTATCTGGCTCCGGTGAGAAGAAAAGGCTCAGTGAAGCTGCACACCCAGGCTGTAAATGCACCATTTTGGAGGGGGCAGCTGATCCAGGCCTCACACTGCCCGTGTTGCCACTTGACACATTTACTCCCTCAGGCTCCATATCCAGTTGCCTGCCCAGAGCTTTGTTATAATAGAAACCACACAAAATTCATAATGGGTCATGCTTATTTGAGAGGGAAGAGGTTGCTGGGGAGCTTACTATAAGGTCTGGAGAGTAAACAACAAAGGAAGCCATCAAAAATCTTCTGTGAGCACAGGTAGCCAAAAACCTCTAGGGGACAGAAGTTGCACAAATCAGAGAGTAAAGAAGGAAGTCTGCCTCAGTCACACTGCCAAAAGCTCCACAGAAACAGTGCAATGGGACAGAACCACGTATACGTGAGCATGACATGAGCAGGCACAGCAGATGTTACCTGCTTGGGAACTTGAAGCTGGAGCTTGGAGTTCTATTTAGAAGATGAAGGAGCCAAGGCTGCACAAGCTACCACATATAATAACGTATGATGGGAACTGCAGAACTGCGTATGACAAATGGCAACTTCAGCAAGACAGGAATACTTTGGGGGAACTACTGGGGATGGGAGGTTTGGAGAAAAGGGGAGAAAGTGACCACCTGGTTGTTCTCTGAATTGACAGATGGGAGTGACTGCCATAGAAGAAAGGTCTTTTCCTGAAACGGGAAGGTTTATTACATCCGAGTCCAAGCAGGAGACATTTAGCATCACTGGCAAAGCACGAAGACCTGATCTGACCTCTTAGCGCCTAAGGCAAACTACATTATGAAGCTTTTGGTTTGAAGATAGTATGCTTAAGCCAAATCCCAATGGAAAAGGCTTGTCCAGACATCCATTTACCATCTCCTGTACCTACTGACAGCTCAGCCCAAGCACTGCACTGCTGTACTTCTGTTACACTGAATGAGACTGTGCAACACCCCAGTGTAATTGCTACTGGGATCCAAGAATGAGGGAGAGAAAAAAAACATTCAAGCTCCAAAATCCGTATTTGACCTCTGCAACTGCAGAGGTAAAACCATCCTGACCTACTGTATCCAATATGGAAGAAAAACAGACAAGAGTTTTATTGGCTTCATCCCTGAGAGGGCAACAAGCCCTACACAGTGAAATTTTCAGCTCTTAATCAGCTCATCTACAATCACAGGAAGGCACACGTAGAGCCACTCTGGACTGAAGGAAGGAGTCACAAGTACTCTTGTGAATGCTGCTCAGGTAGACCATTGTGTTCCCATCACAGCATAGCCAGAAGGATAGAATAGTCTCAGAAACAACCTGTGAGTTTTCCTTTTAAGATTAATTTCATTCTCAAAAGGAGCCTGGAACAGATGACATAGCGATGGCATCTATACCAACAGAGTAATTGAAAATCCCTTTATCTTCAATGTCAGTACTCAACATTTAAGAATTTGGAAATCCTATAGCAAAAACTCATAGCCTACCACAGACTTCAGGAAAAACCCATCATTTGGAAGACACCATTGCCCTTTCCACTGAAGTTAGTAAAGAAGTAAGACGTTAAGAGCTGCTTCTGAAACCAAAATATTCAGGAGCTCAGTGCTACATAGTACAAAAATTAATTGTCAGAGACAAAGAAGTATCAGTATATATTTAACACACATGCAGTAAAAGCCCAAATCCTGATATAATTGATGCCAACTTGTCAGTGCTGCTTTCCACAAGACTCCTGAAGTTCTGTCATCTGCAATATGACTGACTTTAAGCACTACATTCCTTATTACCTCACAGAAACTAAGACAGAAAAGCTCCTGATATTTGTATGAGTAATCTAAGGATGGAAAGATCTTACACAAAGTAGCGTGGATTTTAGGGGGTGGATTTTACCTAGGGGGAAAACCCAACCAACCAAACAACAACAAAAAACAGAATATATTCCCGTTCCTGGAAGCATGGAGCAATGCATACTGAAATTCATTCTTCCTGTCTGTACCTTAAAATCTTTCATTGGTGACATTTAAAAGACAGTCATGGCCACCAGTTCCTGGTATAGGGCAATTAAAGCTACATTAAAGTAGCCAGAACAAAGTGGCAATCAGATCAGAGCACTGCACACAGGACTAAATAATTAATGAATCACACTTCAGGTCACACACACAGAGACCTGTAGTTAATCCCAAAAGGGAAGAGAGGTTACAGCATTGTGTAACAGCATTACTAAGGCACCCAGACTGGCTCCACAGGAGGAAGGACTGTACACACATCAGTGTGGCCATCATCAGAACTCAACCATCCTGCTGAAAAGCAGGTATTGAAGTCCAAGCACCACACTTCTTAACACGGTTACACTATTTGGAGGGTAAGAGTTAACAGATGTGTGTGGCACCATATCCATTTGATTTCAGTAGCTCTGGTATCCCAACATGGTTACATGAAATGAAGCAGAACAACTTCAGCTGTGAGCATCTGAGTATTCTCTGCAGCAGCAGCACTGGAATCACAGGCTTCCCCACCACTCTCAAGCCTCTGCAGCATACAGACTACCTTGAAGAGGAACAGATGATCAAAACATAGAAAAAATGGTATGTGGAAGAAACTTTGTTTCTCTGTATGCTGGGTTTATGGCTATTGGATCTTACCCATGCAAAGTTTTAAGTTTTAGGCCTGGGCAAGGTACCATACCAGAAGGCAACTATGTCATCTGGAAACTGCGTTCCTGAATGCAACTTTGATTTCTCCTTCACATAATCATGGGAAAGTCACTGCAGTACACAAACACTTTTAAGAGTATGTATATAGTTTTGAAAGTATATGTTTTCACAGTTTCTAGGAGAAAAAAGACTATTTAGATAAGTCTAAGGAGCATTCCTTTTCTTCTAGAACTTTTGTGTATGATTTGTTTAGCTTGATCAAATCCTTTATAACAGCACTTTCTCACAGCACGTTACTTTATCAGAAAAGCATGGAGCAAGGACAACCTGCCACAGAAGCCTCATCCCAAAACTCAGGCACATCTCACAAAACCATACTCACCCATACACACTCTGGTTTATGTACCTGTCAAAGAGAGTAAGCTGAGACAACCTGATGCAGCAGAAACAAAATCAAATCCTCTTACTGTTCTGCCTAGGGCTATGAAGCCATAAAAACACCATCTCTTACATTTCGTCCATTTCATATCACTCGCCATGTAAAGGCTCTTGCCAGGGGAGAGTTGGTTCAGATACAAGATGCTCACTGCCCTTATGAACAATTTCTTTTACTTTTTTTTAATCGCCACTGCAACCTTGAAGGGACGAGACGCGCCGACAGCACTGACTAAGTAGTTTACTGCAATCCCGTTTCAAGGCGACTCTCCAACGTCCCGCCCAGAGAGGCCCCAGCCGCAGCTAGCCCTTCCCCGGCAGCGCGGCGGGGACGCCAGCTCGCCCCGGGCGGTCCCGCCGCCCGCTCCCGGAGGCGGCCCGGGCCCGAGCCCGGCCCCCGCACCCCGGCCGCCCCCCGCCGCCCCGCCCCGTCCCACCTGCGGGGCTCTCGGGCAGGATGGGGCTCCAGCGGAGCCGCCGGGCGCTCAGCACCACGTCGCAGCTCCTCTTGCTGATCTCGAAGATGCCCCTGAGAAGCGGCTCCTCGCCCGCCTCGGCCGGCGGGGCCGCTGCCAGCGGGGCCACCCGCCGCCGCCGCTCCTCGGGCAGCGCCGCTGAGGCGCGGGCGCGAGCGGCGCCAACGGCCGCCGCCGGCGCGCGCTGCCGCGGCGGGGGGCGGCCGTCGGCCGGGCGCTCGGGCCAGGCCCGTCTCTGCGGGCGGAGCGAGGGGCCCGCGGCGCCCAGCATGGCGGCACCGCCGCCGCCCCGCGCCACCGGCCGCTCACGGCGTCCCGGCTGCTGCCAAGGCAGCGCCCGCCCCGCCCCGCGGGCGGGGCCGCTGCCGCCCGAGGGCCGGCGGGAGCGCGGCCGGGCCGGGCCGAGCCGAGCGTAGCGGCCTCGCTGGGGCTGTGGGGGCTGTGCTGAGCCGAGCCGAGCCGAGCCGAGCCGAGCCGCTCCGGAGGGAAACGTCTCTCCCGCCGCCGTCGGGTCGCCTGAAACCGGGCCGAGCGCAGGCTGGCACCACGGCGCTGCCGCTCGGCCTGCGTCGGCACCGGCACAAACCCGGGGCCCTCAGTTAGGTACGGTGCTTCATGGAGTGACAGCAAGAACGGTCAGAAGGCACTCGGGTTTGTTCTCCTGAGTTACTCTTCCTTCCCCAGGGGGAGCGATGAAGGAATGATCTAGCTAAAGAAATTAATTTTCTTTGTTAGAGTCTGCTATGTCTTCAGCTTTTCTATTATAAATAATATTGCTGTTAGTTAGCTTTAGAAGACTGTAACACGAAGTTATAAAGAGCCCTTTCATACTAAAAAGGTCAAGTCTTTCACAGGTTGTATCTGTGGCTTAGCCTTAAGATAAATACCATGTTGAAATTCATGCTGCAAATCAGAGTACTATCACAAACCTAGGTGGAGGTACCACAGTTACACACTTCATAACAATTGAGGAACACAGTGGCTCGGAATCTGATACAAACTCATACGTTAGATTCTGTATCAAGTGGGCCAGTGCAGAAGGTGTACCCATAAGGCTGCAGAGTCATCTCTCAACCTCAAAGCTTAAATGCAGAGGAGGGAGACTGCCTCTCTACTCCTGTCAATGATAGATTTTACTGATTGGAGCTATGACAGCTTTACTCACAGGTGCTGTAAGATTCACTGATGATAATCACATTAGAGCTCCAGCATCAACTCCAATTCAAAAGGTGCTCCTGAACCTGTAAGGGCTTAACTTGAAGGAGAACAGCAAGGGGTTTTTTTTAAGTTCCAAGTTGTATAATGTCATGGTGGCTTATTAGTACATATAAAGGACATTTCTAAACAAGCAGTTTAGTAATTTTATTATTGGTAATAAGGCAAATATTCAACATTCCTCTGAGAAATAATAAATTAAAAATACTGTCTTTTACAGAGTGATACAAATTACAGTTCAAGCCACATGTCAAAATATCCAAGGCTCTTCCTGTGATGTTTGTCTCTCTATAAGAGAAATACTGTTACAGGTACGGAAATCTGATTGTCTGCAAACAAACCAGCTGAGAGTCCATGAGCTGATACATGATTTCACAACTGTGAAGCTGCCTTCCTTAATAATTCCATAACCTATATCAAGCTGCTAATTTTATAGCTGAGAAGACAGTTTTAAAACACATTTTACAAGTCACTATGGTATAGCTTTTTGATACTTATTTCCGCCTATTACTCTGCCACATTTAAAGAATGCTCTGAATATTTGTTAAATACACAACCTATAAGTGCTTTTCAATTTGCATAGAGCCATTGATACAGCTTTTACTGAAATTTAGCCCTCAACAATTTACCTTTCTGAATCATAACATGACCATATAAAGCTTCTGCTTGCTTAAAGCTGTTAGTGTCAATAGTCTTATTCTGACTTGAATTGTGTCAATATTTTTTGCCCCTTTGCTATTCTTTGTTGGGATATAAGTATCTTGACTGCAGAGTAATCAGGTAAAATAAGGTGTAAATAAATAAAATTATGTGTAAACTGTAGACATTTTGTGCAAAATACATCTTTTTGCCTAAAGATAACTGAGTGACAAGGCAGGAAAAACTGCAAGCCAAACAAACTTGCCTTACCAGTTTATCATTCTGGTACAACTGTAGATGAACCAATTAAACTTGTGTCTGTTATTTGGCATTGGTGATCTTTACTGTGTTTGCATTGATGTCATTGAAAAGGAAAGATAAATCATTAACTAGAATATAAAGCACAACATGAAACTGGATATAGTTGAATCCATTTTGAGGCTGTATGCCCTTTATAATACCCTGCAGTCATTTGTATTTGTTTCTGGGACCATTTATTAGCCTATCCCATCTATTTATATTATATATTGTCACTAGATAATTTCTTATAAGGTACAGGAAAGGATAAGCTGATAACTGTCTTAGTACCATAAAATAATACTAGTTTCACTGCCATCACTGGAATACTATTACAGTTCCTAAGAGATTTGTAATACCCTTCACCTGATATAATTAAAACTTCTAACACCCTTTTATTAATGTTACTGGAAAGGTGTACTAAATCAGTAATTGTTAAGATACTAAAATGTAGTAGATAAAAACATAAAATAGTAAGAAACTGTATAAAAATAACAAACAAAAAAAAAAGCAGAAACATACAAGTCTGTTCACTCTTGCTCTGCTACTGTTCATAAATCCTCAATCCCCACCATCCTTTATAAGTCTGAGACAGACACTTTTTCCTGTGGGGGGAAAAAAAATATTCTCAGGAAGTTACTAATAGACCTTTTTTTTTTATATAAATATCACATTTTTCTGATTTGCACATTGAATTTGGAAAAACATGGAATAGTCCAGCAATATAAGTTTAGCCATTTTCTAGACTATCTTTGGAACTCTCACACATAGAACTTCCTTGTCCTTTTTTGTAAGAAGGGTTGCATGTATTGATGATCTCATGTACTATTCTGTGTGATGTCTCCATATTTGAGAAAAAAAGAGACAAGGCAAACATTAAATGTGTAGCAGAAATTGTATAGTAGGCAGCCAAACAGTATAGAGCACTGAACCTACGTGTGACAGCCTTGATTTCTGCTACATCTTTGATCATAGCCAAAATTTGAAAGTGGAACATATAGGTACTTGTGATAACAGAAAGATCAAGGGACATCTAGAAATACAGTAAGCTTTATGAGGAATAGGGCTGATGTAGAAGGCATTTCAAGACACCCAAAGCAGCTACAATGTGTTTTACTTCCCTGTTCTCTCATGTGCATTTTGATTCAATGGCAATAGACACATGAACATAGAGAAGCCCTATCCACCTCTTTAAGGAGTAAGTTGAAGAACATTTGTAATAAAAATCTTTCAAATTAAATTTTGCAGCTCTTCAGATAGTATCCAGAAATATCCTTCAAATATTTATAAATGTTTGGTGTTTTCCATGCATAAAGTAACTCTTTGTCTTTGAATTTAATATACCTCCTTCAATTTAGGGTTGACTAAATACGCAGTGCACAAGGACATCTAGTTCATCAGTAGTTCTTTACAAGACATAGCTATACTCTTATGCTGGTGATAAGTATGGAAACTATACTTTTTTTACCATATAATGGGAATAAAAAAATTGATAGAACTGAGTCCACAGAACAGTTTTGTGGTTTATAGTCTGAATCACATGTTACGCTGTTACTCCATTTCACTTAGCCTGTGGAGTTGCCTTAACAGTTTTTCAGTTTGTTTTCGTTGTTGTTGGTTTGGGTTTTTTGGTCTTTTTGGGGGTTATTTTTCTGTTTGCTTTTAACAAATAGCTCAAGTAAAGTAGAAGGGGCAAAAAAAAAGAGTGCAGAGGACACACCAGGAAGGGAAGCAAAGCCATTGTCAAGGCACAGCAAGGGGCCAACTGCTCCCTGAGAGCCAGGGAGCCAGGGGGGATCCCAGGGCTAGCAAGGTAGGGGCTTTTCTGGCCAGGACCCACCTGGTGGTACCTGATCAAGGAAGCCCAGGGGAGGGTGCTAGGATCCTCCAAAAATCCAAATCAGCAGGTAAGCTCATGGTGATGAGGCAGGGCTGAAACCAGGACATCGGTTTACAGATCTGGATTATCAGGGTTCTAGCTGAACTGGAGACCAGCATCCTGCAGTATCTCCAAGAGAAAGACTAATGGCCCCAAGATGAGCTTAAATAGAGCTCCAGGCCCTTGGGCAGGGTTGGTGGGAGGGTTGCGGGTGGAGCTGGTCAGGGTTTTTAAGGCTGGGTAGTGGTCTCAGGGCCCTAATAGCCAGAAGTACAAGAGGAAGAATGTTAAGGAGTAGTAAGGGCAGGCCCCTTTTATAAAGGGAGCAGAGCTGAGAGTGACCGTAAGTCAGGTAGGGTCCCTGTCACCAAAAGTGAGCAGAGCTGTGTGTAGTCAAGTTCAGCCAAGAGTCTAGGTAGCTAGACAAACCCCTTGCAATGAGGTGGGTTCTGACGTTAAGATGAAAATCAGAGTCAGCAGGTCAGAGTGAGGTCTGGTGACAGTAAGCAGTGTCAGTGCTAGCCCAGCAGCCCCCAGGGAAGTCTATACTGTCAAGACAGGACCAAGATCAAGCAATATCATCGGTGGTTCAGGATCTGGATATGGCTAGGCACAGACATGGCTGTAATATCATGAAGGCAGATATCGGGGGCAAGAAGTTCTTAAATGCAGTTCTTGTGTGAGGGAGGGGAGGTCCTCTTGTGGTTTCTTAGGGCTTGTTCTCAGCAGTCTGGAGTTGAAGGAGATGTTGCTCCATGCCAGGCTGCTGGCCTTGAGCACAAGTAGATGAACTAGGAGAGGGGAGCATCCTCTGGGCCTGGACAAGAGGTGGTAGGAAACAAGGAGATGAGCTAGCTTCTCCTTAACTAACAGCGCTTCTCTCTGTGTGAAGGAAGCAATCTCTTGCTGTCTAGATGCTAAGAAGTAGTGGGAGTCTCAGAAGTCTTTTCCAGAAGAACCGTGTGGAGTGAAGAAAGAAGTAGGGCAACCTAGTGTTTACTGAAGGAGAACAAGCAGGTAAAGCATGCTATTGGAAAATAAATCCTCTCACCTCAAGAAAAACGCATAGAAAAAATGTAATGAGGTGAGTAGGGAAGAAATAGGAACGCTAGGTTTTGATTCATGGATAATGTGATGCTGAAGTTAAGAAATAGGAATTAAGAAGAGATGAGGGGATACTATAAGGAAAATACCTTATGCCTAATCTGGAGGATTCAACTGGACGTTTCTGGTAGCTGGCTTTTTTCAGTGGTTAATAGAGATTTGCATTTGAAGAAACCTGAATTTTGAAATTGGCAGCATACCCTTGGCTTGCATGTTTTCCTGGCTACAATGTCTGTTTATACAATGAAGGTTTAGTGTGTAGTCAGTTATATTTCAACTGTTCATTCCCAAAAATTAGCTCTTCTAAGTATGTTCCCTTCTCACATTGCTACTCTAGAAAATAATCTTTTTACAGTTCTCAATATTAATTCAGCTCTATTGTTTTGGTTTACCTTGACTTTGAAGAAGAGTCATTTAAGCAGAACACTAAACTTCTTACACAATAAGTGAAGTCATAAATTATTCTGAAGAAAAATGGCAACAATAGTCTGTAGAAGAGAGTGTTACTATACATATTTCTTATATGTCTGAAAAGAAGGGAAGCATAACAGAAAAGAGAGAAAGAAGAGCAGGTAAGGAAAAGAAAGTCTGAAGTTGAGGGAATGGACAAATCTCTGTGAAGAAGAGAAAAAAGTGAGTGATATTATTATGCAGGAATAAGAAGCCACAAGAATGGGGTCTGAAGTTGAAGTCATTCCTGAGACCACCACAAGCTGAAACCAATCTTAATAATAAGAATAATAGAGGAAAATGTGGTAGTGGGAAGGAATAGAAAATGAGAATTGTTGCTCAGAGAACATTTTATTTCTTTCTTTGCATTAAGGTTCATATGCTGTCTTCTTAAGGTAATAAAGTTTTACTATTGTTTTCTATTCTGTCACCAAAATGTTGGAAAAAAAATGTAAATCTTAGTTGCTTTTATTTTATTTCATATAAAATGCGGTTAACTCTGTGCTGCAAACTACTACAAGATAAGAAAATGAAAGCCAGGGCTGATATTCTATGTTTTGCATACCCTGTAGGCAACCTAAATACTTAAGAGAATGCTTTGAGAGCATTGTCAGTTTTAATTTTGTATTGCATAGCTTCTAACAGTTTGTTAAATACATATATGAATTATTTAAAAAACACTTATGTACATATTTAAATAAGTCTATTTGTAGATCTTCAGCTCACTGTTTAGACACATATTAATGTACTATGTTTTTCAAGGTTTTTCGTAACATGGGATTTTCAGCTAAGGAAAGTGGAGACTGTTTATAATATCTGAAATAATTACCATGCAACTCATCGTGGTCAATAAAAACAAAGACCAATTTCTGCATATATTCCCTGATACAACACCAGGCAGAACCCCAAGTTGCCTCTCTGAGTTCTTCTTCAATAGGAATGAGTGAGAACTGGGTGGGTTTTGTTTGTGTGGTGTTTTGGGGTATTTTTGTTGTTTTTTGTTTTTTGTTTTTTGTTTTTTTATCTTTAGATATTCTATATGCAAACGAGAATGGAATTTAACGCAAACTTCTAAAATTATTTGACAAGATGGTTCATTGTACAAAGCACTATGCTGCTTTAAAAGAAAAAAAGGAGACTAATTATATTTTTAATATGTCAAAAACAATTGTTAAGGTCATGGTGGATCCAGTTTTGATCACTTACAATACTGAAATAATTGCAAGAATTTTTCTTGTTACAGATGATAGAGAAGATTTGTTTTACTTGCTCTCAACACCTATTTTGGAGTTATTTCTCTTAATTCCTATTACTTCTGAAATTGTATGTTGCTTTTTTAATATTAGCTTATTAAAATTCTGGAACAGTATCTTCTGGAGAAAGCGATGCTCTGTTGTCTTCTGATGAATTCAGGAATTTTGGTTGTCCTTGAATCTACTTCCCTTTGGTTGGGGAGTCCTCGTGAAGGCACTGTGCCAAAGTCTGATGTTCACGCACACTCTTTCATTTGGTCTAGGTAAAACCTGAGGCTTCAGTCTCTCAGACATCTTGGGGATGTAACCTGGAATTCCACCCGTTCAGATCCCTCTGCCACAGCGGGGGCCTCAGCTGTATCGCAGACAACAATGGGTCCACCACCTTCAGACTTTCTTCTGTTGCTTCAGAAAACCGAGAGGGGAAAAGCTGCAAGTCGTGGCTGTTACTCAGGCGCTGCACCTGCAGAGACTTCACCGGGGTCTTCTCAGGCATCCTTGGGTGGCAGAACAATCTCTGCTCTCAAGTGTGGCATAAAGAAGGCGAAGGCCACTGGTCCCAACAAGCTATAAAAATAGAGTCCTAGGCTTGTGCTGGATGACCCAGTATGTGTGTGGGTATGACTCAACCCTGGAGTTTCTTCCACAGGCGGAAGTTAGATAATCTCACTACAGCCTTAGTTAATTAGCGATATGTTCATAGAGAGGAACAGTGTGAGTAATTCTTTCCTTTGAAAGAGACCTTGATAGACCTTCCTGTGGGAGTCATGAGCAGAGATTTCAACATTAGGCTTTATGTTAACAGTAAGAAAAAATAAATATCACGGAAGCATCAGAAGCAGTAGCAAAGGGGAGGAGGGGGGAAGATCTCCAATATTTTATAAGGGGGGGGGGGGGGGGGGGGAACCAACCACCACCCTAAACTAATTGAAATAACAAAACTCACAAGTGATTTGTAAAATGGAGCCTCTAGTTAGCAAAATGCCTAATGAATTTTCCTTAGTAGGTTTCTCATAACATTAAAATATTATTTTCTCTAAAGTATCACGATAGCAACATCAGATAGCCTAGGTAGATCTTTTAAGTAAATTGCATTGTCTAGAGAAGCTGAATTTTGTTATTAACTGCGGAAAAAGAAAAGGTAATTGAAAAGGTTTCTTGTGGTTTGGAAATGCCTTCCAAATATTCATTAAACATTTAAGCGACTAAATTTGCAGAATATGTTCCTGACATTGGCACTGGTTCTGTGGTATTTCTCTCATCAGATGGAAGTACTGTGTGTTATGCAGAGTGCATTCATGCATAAACAATATCATTTTCATAAATTAAAACCTCCCCTGCAGAAGGAACATCTGTGCCTGCCTTTGAATAAAAGATGGTGGCATGTGAGTTGCCCCTTGACTGACTAGAAGAATCCTTGTGTTTAAGGAGAAGGTGCATAACCAAAAGGCGAGTAAGCCTAGGTCAGCTTTTTCAATTTTATCTGGAAAACTGTCATTCATTTCCCCCCCCTTCGGGTTATCTAGGGTATATTTAGCTGTGTTGCCACTGACTGGAAAAGGTTAATCGGGTGCTTGAAAAGTTGCCTTTTGCTTTCTTCCTTTGCAGATGCAGCAACAGTTTTGGAGTGCGGAGCTGCGGGCTCGGGCAAAACGCAGCGAGATGCTGCAAAACCTATCAGCCGGCGTCGCGATTAATTTTCAGCGTGTTTTTATCACGCAGCACCGGCCGTGAGGGTGCGGCACTACTAAGACAGGTTTGCAACGTTTACGTGTTGGATTTCCGTAGCTACGAACACCTTCTAAAAGAGACGTCAGTAGCTTGATTTCTCGCGGAAAAAAAAAAAATGCCCTCATCCACAGGAGAGCCTGTTCGCTTTCTGCCGGACTTCAGTGAAATATTTAGAAAACGCCTCTGCTTTGTGACAGGCTCCTATGAGGGATTTCGGGGAACGTCTCCAATCAGTCTCTGAGGGTCGGAGGCAAAGACCTGTTGATAGTTATTCCCGGTCGTTAGGAGAACTGCCCTCCCGCAGGTTGCGTCTCCGGGTTTCCCAAACCCCGGAACCATCAGTGACGGTTAAAGAAACGCGTTTCGCGCCGGGGAAGGGGGAGCTCGGCGGGCCGATAGCGCCGGACCCAGGGCGGTGTTGCGGGGGAAGGAGGGCGGGCAGCCGCGCCGGGGCCGGAGCGGCAGCTCCGCGGCGGGCCGGGCCCGGGGGGCCCCGCGGGACGCCCCCTCCGTGGGCTGAGCCGGGGGAGCCGCGGGTGGGCGGCAGCGCGGGGTGCGGGGAGGCCGGCGCAGCAAGCGGGAGAGCCGCGGTTCTGCCCCCGTTCCCCAGTTCAACAAATCAGCATCGCCAAGGGCCGGGCCCGCTGGAAACAAACGAACAAAATGCTCCCCCCCTTCCCCCGGAACCCCTCCAGGTAAGTAAGGAATCCGTGGCCTTTTCTTAGTCCAATTTTATTCTACAAATAATACGTGTTGCACCTTTCATGAGCTATCCAAATAAAACAATAATCCCATAGGAATTACTTACACTAAGGAAAAAAAAAAAAAAAAGATCACATTTAAGGAGAAATGCAACATTCGACCAAATGTTCAATACTATGTTGTTGCCAAAGGATGGATGTTTTTTCTAAAATCCCAGTGTGCATTACACCATAATATACAGGATTACAAACAAAATTACAGTACAGATTGATTCCAGTTGAACCAGCGTTACATTTCAAACAGCACTTATTCTGGACTGCATTGTACATGCAATAGCTATTGTTCTAATTACGGATTAAATGGTTTGAATTTGTTTCAAGCTACCGTACTAATCGACTACAATAGGTATATAGCCCGACTTTAACAACCTGATTAGTTTTAGGTTCCGATTTATAAGATGAGCATATGACAACCACGGATTGTGTGAACATGTATAAAATCATGCATTTATATCGCCTGGAAACATTAACATCTTCAAGTTCTCTTCAAAAAAACCACGGAATGCCAAAGGGTTCAAAGACTAAAAAGAAACAGTGCAAATTGTATGTGATAGTCAAGCAGCTTTCGATTTAAAAAGGGTGTTGGCATTTGCTTATAATCTTTATATACAAGTTTGTGCAAGTAATGTGTTGAATTGATATGTTTTAATAGAAAATAAGTCTCTCGTTCTTCTATCTTCTCAAGACCTAGGGGATCTGGTTCTTGTTGGTGGGGGGAAAGGAAAAAAAAAAATTAGAAAAAATAAAAAGAAAAGAAAAGAAAGAAATAAAAGATACTTTTATGGGAAAGAAATTGTCCGGATTGTGCATTTTTTTTTTTCTTCAACTATTTGAAAGGAAAGAAGTGCTAAGGCAACATAACTTCTCTAAGCACTTTTCTGCTGGTTTAAATTAGTTAAATTATTTTGTATAAATTAGATATAATTCTACCTTTCCAATATGTATAAAAATTGATGAAGCTGCATGGTTTAAAATAGGAAATTCACGTTATAAAAAGTCATTAAAAATTCTGTACAAAATCACAACAAAATAATTCAGCATGGGAAAGGTAACAAGTAGTAAAACGTTGGTTGAAAAATATAGATTTCATATATATTTTGTAATTGGCCCATCGCTAGTTTAAAAATTGCATAGATCCTAATTATTGCTTGTGATTTTGTTATCCCGATCAGGTGAGTGACGCGCTCCCAGCGCCCCTACCCCAGATGTACGGCGTGGCTCCGGGCAGCGGGAGCGGGGCGGCGGGCGGGCGGGCGGGCGGGCGGCTGCCCGGGGCAGCGGCGGGGCCCGGCCGGGCCGCCCCCCGGCAGCGACGCGGCGGCGGGCGGCTGGGCTCGCCTCGCCTCGCCTCGCCTCGCCTCGGCCCATCCCTTCCCTTCCCTTCCCCTCGCTCCTCCGGCGGCGGCGGGGGAGGCTCAGTCGTGGAAGATGGCGTTGAGCTGGGCGCTGAGGACCCGCTCGTGGTGGGGGTGGCCCTCGTAGGGCGCCAGGCCGTCGACGGGGATCTCGCAGCGGGAGGCGGCGGCCGGGAAGATGGCGGCGTGGGCGGGCGCGGCGGCCAGCGCGGCGGCGGCGGCGGCGGCAGCGGCGGGGTAGTGCATGGTGAAGGCGTAGCTCTTGTCGAAGTCGGCGGCCGGCTCGTGCTTGAAGGAGAAGTTGCCGTTGACGCTGAGGGGCGGGCTGAGCGGCCCGTCGAAGGCGGGGCTGGCGCCCTCCGCCAGGCCGCTCTCGAAGAAGGGCTCGAGCGCGGCGCCGTAGGCGTGCGGCGGCTTGAGGTGGAAGAGGTGGGAGCTGTCCATGGTGCCGTAGGGCGGGCTGGGCAGACCCGGCGACTGGTAGGGGTACGGGTGGGCCGGGAAGGGCGCGCCCGCCGCCGCCGCCGCCGCCGCCGCCGCGTGGGGCGGCACCTCCTGGCTCTGCTCGGGCAGGAAAGTCCGCGGGTTGAGCTGCAGGCAGCCGGCCACCAGGTTGGTGGTGGGCTGCGACAGGCCCTTGCAGAGGGTCTGCACGAAGGAGACCAGGTCCGGGCTCTTGCCCGAGCGCAGGATCTCGGAGAGCGCCCAGATGTAGTTCTTGGCCAGGCGCAGGGTCTCGATCTTGGAGAGCTTCTGCGTCTTGGAGTAGCAGGGCACCACCTTCCGCAGGTTGTCCAGGGCCGCGTTCAGGCCGTGCATGCGGTTGCGCTCCCGCGCGTTGGCCTTCATGCGCCGCAGCTTGAAGCGCTCCATCCGCGCCTTGGTCATCTTCTTCTTCTTGGGGCCCCGCCTCTTGGGCTTCTGGTCGTCGTCCTCCTCCTCCTCCTCTTCTTCCTCCTCTTCGTCCAAGTCGTCCTCCTCGTCCTCCTCCTCGCCGTTCCGCAGCGAGTCCTCCTCGGCCTCGGCATGCAGACCCTCCAGGTCCTCCTCCTTCTTGTCCACCTCGTGCTCCTCGTCCTGGGAGCTGAGGCACTCGTCCGCCCAGCTCGGGGGCCCCTGGGGCTGGGGCTCGCCCATCAGCCCGCTCTCGCTGTACGACTTGGTCATGGTGAGCCCCTGCGCCGCGGGGGAGAGAGAAAAGAGCCGCATCAGCACCCGGAGACCGGCGGCCGCGGCCCCGCCGCTCCCCCCGTCCCCTCCCGAGGGAAGCCCCGGCCTCCCCACGGCTGCCGGCGCAAACTTTTAATTGTCTCCGCGGTCCTGCCTTGTCATCGAGTTGACATATGTTCAGGTGCCGTTATGTAACTCGCTGATGTTAGCGGGGATTATAAACAGATTATGTGCGCGGAAGGCAGCCCGAGCGGCGCGGCGCGGACAGCCCGAGAGGCCTTTAGTGTTGTTTTTTTTTAAAACAAACACATTTGCCGAAGCGGGGAGGGGGAAAGGCGAGGTAGGGAACGACACACAGGACACCCACGGGGACGGATGGCCGCCCGTGACGCCTGTCCCCGCCGCTCTCCGCGGCTCCCCCCTCCCCCCCCACCCCCGCCGCCGCCGCCGCCGCAGCCTTGCGCGGGGCTCCCGCACCGCCCCGACGGGCGCTGGGCTCCCGCTCCCCCGACCGGAGCTGCCCAGCCTCTCCTGGCGAGCATCTCCCGGTCCCACCTCCGTCCCCAGATCTCGGTGCCCGCGGCGGGGTGGCGAGCGGCGGTGCTGCGCGGCCCCTGCCCGCCCTAACAGGTGAGGGACCGGCCCCGGCTTCCCGTCTCCGCCATCCCCTCCGCCGCAGACGGGCATCGTTCCCCCGCCGCTTCCCGCGGGGACCTGTCGCGAGGGGGTTACGACCGTCCCTCCAGTCGCCCCGGGCACAGCGGGGAGGAACAATGCCGCCGGGGCGCAGCCCGCCGTGGGACCGTGGCGGCCGCCCTGCGCGGAGGAGAGGGAGCTGGAAGTTAGTCGCATCGGTGGAAGCACATCTACGTGTATCGTGTGTGTGTGAATAGATGGACGCACATATACGTGTCTACAGGCGCACATACACATTTACATCTGTCTAGCTGTGTGCACCTATAGGTGCCCGTACGTGCGTTTGGGTGGATACAGGTGTGCACGCACACAGCCGCCCGCTCACACCGGCAGGAGCGACCGCCGGTTCCCGCGACCGCAAGCGGCAATGGAAACCGAAGCCACCGGCGGCAGAGGCCGGTCCCGCCTGCCCCGACCCCGCACGCTTCTCTCCCACCCCGGTAGCCGCCGCCAAGCCTTTTCCCGCGGAGGGGGGGGGGGGGGGAAGGAAAACCCGATTTCCCGTTACCTCCGTTGCTCAGCCTCTCCTGTGCGGTGACGGTCTCATAACCCCGGCGCAGCTCTCCGTGCGAGGGCGCCGCGCGTGTTGGTGGGGGTTTTTTGCTGTTTGTGGTTTTTTTTTTTTTCTTTTTATTATTATTATTATTATTTCCCCGAGGTTGCGCAGCGCCGGGCTCCCCTGTTATATAGCGGGACCGAGGATGCGCGGCGGGAGGGGGGGGCCGGCACCGGGACCTTGGGTACCGCGGCGATCGCCACCGCCCAACGGCGCCTGCGCCCCGCCCCGCGCCCCGCCCCGCCCGGCGGCACGCGCCATATGGCCGCCCACGTCAGGCGGCCTCACACACTTCGCCCCCCCCCCCCCCCCCGTCCCCCCGTCTCCCCCCCTCCTCCACGTGACACCCCTTATTTGTATGCTGCCGCGCGCCCGCCCGTTGAGCCGCCACGCCCTTTGTGGCCCCACCGGGCGCCGCCATCTGTCACCGGGCGGCCCCCCCCCCCTCCTCCGGCGGCGGTGCGGGCGCGGTGCGGAGCTCGCTCCGCACCGCGCCCGCACCGCCGCCGGAGGAGGGGGGGGGGGGGACTGCCCCGACCCGCGGAGCCGCATTGTTTCCTTTGTTCCGGGGTGCAGCCTCCGCGGGTCCCCGCCACCCGCCTTGAGCAGCTCCTAACGGTCGCCTCTGACCCCCAGAGACTCCTTGTCCTCCTCCTCGCCGCTCCCTCGCCGCCACAGACACCTCACCCCCCGCGGCTTCGGCGATTTCGGGGGGGGGGGGGAAACGAACGGGGCTGCTGTGCCCCTCGGTCTGTCCTGCCGTCTGGAGCGAACGCTGCTTCGCTTTCCCCCGTTTTTTTTTTTTTTTGAGGGAAGTAACGGGCGGTTAACAGGGAGTTTGAAAGGCGCTGAGCGGTGGCTTTTAAAGTCTTTAAACGCCTCGGCGGAGTTCGCAAACACTGTCAAATTTTAGAGGCGCTCTTCAGCGAGGGAGATACCCCCCCGTCGCGTGGTAACGCGGGGGGCTTTGCTACCGGCACGTGTTATGCGGAGATTTAACCAATAAAAAGAAAAAAAAATAATATACTTTCGCCTTATGGGGCTTTAAACGCGAGACCTGTAATTCCGCCCTGCGGAGAGAAATTCGAAATGTATTTTTCCAGGTCGCGTTATTTTTAAAACGTTTCTCTCCTGGTCGTGACCTACATAGCCCTGGGGCCGGCGGGGTGTTTGCCTTCTCGGTAATCAAATACGACGGACAACCGGCTGCGTTTTGTTATTTCCCAGCCGGCCGGTTCTCCGTGTGAAGCGCGGCGGAGGACGTCCGTGGCCCGGGCGGCCCCTCGGGAGCGCGACGCCGTTAACGGGGCGCTGCCGGGGCGGCCGCGTTTTGGAAGCGGAGGGGTTGGAAACAGGTTTTGAGGGCGCGGGAGCGGCATGGGGCTGCGCCAGCCCTGCCTCCCCTGGGGGACAATGCCACCCCCGTTTGGACGGGACTGGCTGGGAATACACCCGGGAGCGTGGGACGGTGGGGGAAACACGGGGCAAAAGCACCAGGAGAGGGGCACGGGCAGAAAGCTGAATCCCGGGGAGCGGTGAGAACTTTGGGATGTTCGTGTGCCTCTGAGCGTGTTCACCACAGGCGGCTGCCCCGAGAACGAGATAAAGTCAACAAATTGTCGGCAGACAGATAAGTAGATACACAACTAAAGCGGCAGGCAGTCGGACAGAGGGGCTCGAAGCCCGCCGAGGGGGACAGATGCCGCCCCAGGCGGCGCTGGGCGAGGGGACACGCGTGGCCGTGGAGGCGCCGGGCCGGCGGGTACGAGGCGCTCCTCGGTGCAGCCCGTCGGGGCCGGGGCCGGGCGCTGCGCTCCCGGTGTGGCGGGGCTCTGCCGCGCCGGCTCCGTCCTGCCCGCTCCTCTCGGGGCTCCGACCCCCTTCCCCTCCCGATCCTCCCGGCAGCCGGCTCTGCCTTCCCCGCTCGGGCCGTCCCCTGCCTCAGAGGCTCCGGTTTCCCACCTACCCTGCCTCTCCTGTTCCCCCAGACCCTTGATTTTATCGCTCCGAGCGTCTCTTTCCCCACCCCTCCCCCGACCTACAGACTCCTCCTTCTCCATCTGGCTTCTAATTCGGCTTCTGCTTATTTTTCTTCCCGAATCTTTCTCTTTTTCTCTTTTTCTCTTTTTTTCTCTTTTTCTCTTTTTATATTTTTTTTTCCTTTTTATCTTTTTTTTTCTTTTTTTTTTTTTTTTTTTTTTTTTTTTTTCCCTGCCTCCCTCCCCTTCTTCCCTCCTCCCCGCCCCCCCGCGGCGCGGCACACGAGCCGCACGCGTCCCATCAAAGCTCCGGCCCGGCCCGGCCGCTCCCGCCCCGCCGGTTCCCGCCCCATCTGCTGCCTCCCGGCCCTGGCTGGGGGGGAAGCCCCGGGACCGGCCGGTGCCCGGGGCGGCGGGCGGTGGCGGGGAGCGCGGCCCCTCCGCGGGACTCCGCCGGGGCTGAGCCTGCGAAGGACCGGCCGGGAGGGAGCGGAGTTTTGTTGGGGGCCGGGGCAGGGAGGGAGGGGGGTGATGGAGGGAGCAGCGTTGTGGAAACGCCTTACAGTTGTCCAGAGCGCGAAATCCGCTCCCAAGGAAATCTCTTGGGTTTGCGGCATTATCTTAATTAAGATAATTGATTCATATTGCACCTGCGAGAGTGCGGGGAAAGGATGCTTCCCTAAATAGCTTAAAGCTATTGGAGAGAGGAAGCCGCGCTTATAATTTAGCGAGTGATTTACTGCCCAGGCTGTTCGGGCTCCCTCCTTTCGCCGTCACGTTTCCCGCTCCCTCCCTCTCCAGAGGGGCACCCACACAAAACCCGAGGGTTTTCCTGAAAAAAAAAAAAAAAAAAAGAGAAGGACAAGTGTCCCTACCCGCTCCCCCTGCCCCCCTCGGCCCCGCCCGGCACCCACCGCACCGCGGGGCCGGGAGCGGGGAGCAGGGCTCGGGAAGGGCCCGCTGGGTTTGCCGGCGGGGCTCCCCCGCTCGCCCCTCTGCCGGGGCGGCGGGGACCGGGGCCGGGGCCGGGGCGGCGGGGACCGGGGCCGGGGCCACTGAGCGCTGCGCTGCGCTGCCGCGGCCGGGGGAGCGGAACGCTTTGAAACACCGCTCTGGTACCGCTTTGGTGCCGGGGTGCGCCCGTACCGCACTTTCCAGCCTCTCTCTAGGATACGCGTACAGCTGGGCTCGAAATTGATACGAATGATTAAGGTGCCTTTTCTGCTCTTTTTTTTCCCTTAAGACTCGGTGTATTAATTTTATTGAGCCTTTCCCCGTCATATAAATGCTGGTGTTGTTTTAATTCTATAAATGTAAACTTCTATTTAGTTAATGGAAAATACATCACCACCAAGGTTTAATTATCAGCTTTTAAAATTGCTCTTTTAGTCAAGTGCACACAATTATTAAATCACAATAGATTTAAAATACAATTCAGATTGATTAAAAAAAAAAAAAAAAAACAAACACCAAAAAAAAAAACCCAAACACCCAAATCAGAGAAGTACGTACCATTAAAGCAAATGTCTAAATTGTATTAGTAGGCCAGCTACCGTCTGAGCTAGAGTTTAAATAACATCAGCAGTCTTTGCTATCGGTGTCAAACCACCTCTGTTACTAGGAAAAGGATTCTTATCAGACGGGATTTAGATGCTGCTATAACTGCAAAATCTAATTATTTTTGATCCAAGCATTTACCCCCAGAGTCCCACCTTGTTTAAATAAAGTGTTTTCTTTCCTCTTGAACAAATGCATTTCCATTTGAATTAAATATTGATAATTTGACCTTTTAGTTCCTTTAACTAATCAAAAGGAAAAAAAAAAATCCAAATGTAGATCCTAGTGCCTTGCCCTAGTGGGTCTTTCCGCTTGAATAGACACTGAGATTAAATGAGTCAAACTTCCTCTTTCATTGCACTCTCTTTGCACTAATTGCTTATGCAAAAATGCAGATTTGTATTAATTAGTAACTCCACTGATTAGTTTGGTGGTATTTTCACGTAATAAATCATGCTGCAGACACAATTTTTGGCACGTCCCCAGTAGTGGCGCAGGATGCAATAAGTTTTCCATATTAAATAAAATCTTAGCCTAAATCTACCTTTTCGTTGCAGGTACACTGTGTACCACCTGCTGTACGCACCTGCTACGGGAAATTACCTTCTGTCCCTGGCAAGCCTCTTTCCTTTCCTTGGTAATGCACTCCTCTTCACAGGGTGTAGACTTTAAAATGGGAAGCATGAATCACAGAATCAAAGAAGGAGAGAATTCTGATGTTATTTTTAACCCTTTCAAGTGAATAACACTCATTTTTAAGGGGATGAAACTTATGTAAGATACATCAGAGGTAGATTTTTTCTTTTCTTTCCTATGCCCAGCCACGCGATCTCCTTTTGCAGCACGATTCACCTCATGCCCAAATTATCATGCATAATTTTTTTTTTTTTTACATTTTTTTCTCTTTCCTTGAGCTGCAGAGGCTAACCTCTTACAAATGTGACACTTGTTAACTGGGGTTCATACCTCAGTCAGGTACAGAGGCCTCAACAGCAGCAGCGAGACTCCACAGTATCCGTAATAGTATCTACATAGTACTGAAAATGCCCCTGCTAGCTCATGTTGTGAAGCCACTATAAAAATCTCTCTAGAGCACACACAGGCTGATGTGTCCAGTAGCTCAGATCTATATCTGAAAAACCTTTCCCAATTCCTTCAAAAATCATCCCAGATAATACCTTTCTACCTGTTTCCTCCAGACAGAGTTGTCTTTACTTCACAACTCTTTCTCAAGCGAGTCAGAATAATTGGTATGACATATATCACAACAAATAATGTTGACTGGAGAGGTACTTGGAAAAAAGAATAAGAAGCTCCAGTGGAATATAAAAGACAACAACGCTGGTGTCATTTCCTCATAGGTGACACTTCTAGGCGCAGAAAAACCTTTGCCTCTCTCCTGCCAAGACTCCCACTCACGTCAGCAGGACCACTTACACAAACAAACTTGCAGAATATGGCCTTTGGCCCCCAGTCTAAGCAGTGCAGTGGGGTGGAAGAGCAGCAAACACAGGTGCCAGCAGATTATCCAAAGCTTTGCTGAGATTAAAATCTTGTCTCAATATGAGTTATTGCATATTCTCTAAATAGAAATCTCCTTAGTGGTGGCTTTAAAAGGTCTGCTTTTGTTTTCCTCTGAGAGAAAATAGTGGTTGAACCCCAGACTATGCACATAATAGTTTACGTGTTCCTTCCC